TATTATATCAAAAGCTGTTTGGTGATTGAAAGGGTAGCTGGTGGCAGTCTGGTTTAAAAAAAAAAAACACAGAAAGAAGGAATGGGGACTCAAAGAAAATCCTCAGTGTCTGAAAGAAATATATATATATATATAGTCTTGATTTGTATCTGAAATGCCCCAGAATGAGTGCTTCTGAGAAATGAGTCCACGAACAGGGAGTTGAGAAATTGGGCATAATGGAGTCTCTTTCAGCAAGGAGTGGGCGATTGAAAGGGGGAAGAAAAAAAAAAGAAAAGAAAAATCAGATGGAATTCAGAGAGAGAAGAAAGGCCGGGTAGAAGGGAGGAAARGGCTTTTGTCTGAGGTTTAAGCCACGAATCTGGTTTAGGAGGGCTGACTCCTGGTGGAGAGTGCGCTGTGTTTAGCTTGAACAGCAGCGGCTGCCTTTTTCTTCATTATTCTTTTTTTTTAACTCACAAAAAAATCAAAGTATTGTATAGCTTTTCCAACCTGCCTGAGGCTCTAGGTGATAAAAAAGAAAAAGGATGAATCATATGTGAAGAATATAGCTTGGATGAAAAAAATATATATATATCCCCCAATGACACAATGACATGATTGGTCTAACAAGTCCCCGGTGTTTGTCTCACGCAGAAATGACTATTTTTGGAATCTCACGAAGCAGAAATAAATCACAAGCCTGTTCGGGGATTTGTGATGTGGGGTCCCTTTGAACATCTGAAAGCTGGATTCTTGGATGTCATCTTGTGTTTGTATTTGTTCTCCGTGGAGCCGTTTAAAACTGAAATCGTGTTTACTGGGTGCCCGGCCCTGTTCAGAGCCTTTATGTGCCTCCACGCCAGTGATCCYTAGGGCAGCCCTGAGAGGTGGGTTCTATTATCACTCTCTATTTCAGATGAGGAAACTGAGGCCCAGAGAGGTTAAATAATCTGCCCAAGGTCATGCAGCCAGAAATGGGCAGAGCCTGGAATCCATGTACTAATTCCCCTTGCACTCACCTCTGTGTGCAGCAATGGTCCAAATTTGTCCTAGGCACTTCTTCCTTAAGAAAGAAAACCCCACATAGAAAGTTCCTATACCCCCCGTCCCATGAATGCACCCTCTAATTCCTTTTTCAAATATAAGTCCTTTTTTCTTCTTCTCTTCGGCTTCCTGGCCATGAGGAGAGCAGTTCTGCTTTACCTTGCATTTCTCACCATGATGTGCTACCTCATGACAGGCCCAAAAGCCACAGGTCAACCAGCCAGAGACTGAAAACTCAAAAACTGTGAGCCAAAAGAAGAACTTTCCTCCTGTTGATTATGTCAGGTCATTTGTTACAGTAATGGAAAGCTAACACATGTAAGTTATATTACTTTAAAATAGTACCCTTTGGGCCACTTGTTTTTTCTCTCCATTTCTGCCACTACAATTGTGAACGCCTGTGTTGACGTGTATTTTTTTTTATTTATTTTTTGGTGGACACAACATCTTTATTTTTATGTGGTGCTAGGGATCGAACCCAGYGCCCCGCGCATGCCAGGCGATCGTGCTACCGCTTGAGCCACATCCCCAGCCCTGTTGACATGTATCGATCTCTTTTAACTCGCAAAGTGGTTGTGTAGCCACTGGCCACATTTGGTTCCTAAGCACTTGAAATGTGGCTAGTTCGAATGGAGATGGCTCTGCTATAAGTGTAAAAATCACATCAGATTTCAAAGACAGTTTGAAAAAGTTAATCAGTTAATGATTTTGAGTGTTGATTACACGTTGAAATGACAATATTTTGAATATATTGGGTTAAAATATTAAAATTAACTTCTCTTGTTTTTTTATTTTGTTAATGTGACCACTACAAAACTGAACATGGCTTGTGGCTCATTTTTATGGCTAATATTGTATTTCTATTGGAAAGAGATCCTTCTTTTTAAAATGATATTCTAGTTTAATAATAATAATCTTTAAGATGATGTTTTAGTTTCATTAATTGAAGATGTACTTTTTCAATGGCTGTCGGCCTATTTGTTAAACGATGAAGGGGGAAACCCTAAATCTGAATAATAAAAATTGATATTTACGGATCATAAATTGATATTCATTGATCATTATTATTTTTTAATTTTTTAGTTGCAGATGGACACAATATCTTTATTTTATTTTTATGTGGTGCTGAGGATSGAACCCAGGGCTTTGCACGTGCTAGGCGAGTGCTCTACCGCTGAGCCACAACCCCAGCCCTTCACGGATTCTTGATACTCACTTATTCTGGGTGACATGCTTCTTAGTCCAGTGTGCGATCTGTCACAGGATGCTGCAGATTGGGTAATCTGTAATTCACAGATTCATACGATTCCCAGTTTCAGAGGCTGGGAAGGCCAAGGTCATCTGGTGAGGCCCTTCTTGCTCTGTCATAACCTGGTAGAGGCATCACCTGAGGGAGGTGAGAAAGCCCAACTCGCTTTCATAACACACTCACCCTCTGGATCCCTAATCCACTCCTGTGATAACATCGATCCGTTCATGAGGACAGATCCCTGGTGACCAATCACCACCTCAATGTCCCACCTCTCGACCTTGGAGGATTAAGCTTCTAATACATGAAGTTTACCAATTACAATATGTAATAATCCATTCCGTCCTTCCCTGAGGTCGCGCAGGGCTGCGCAAAGTGAGGTGAGGCAGTTGCCTAAAATCACAACAACTTCAAAGAGGCCGAGTTGGGACCCAAGTCATGCTGGCTGGCTTCAGAGCCACCCTTTTAACCACTAATTCCACAGGACAAAGCCTTACCAGGAATAGTGTAAATCCGTCTGAGAAAGCAATGGCCAAATCATTTCAGTTGGTGAAATCTCTAGTACATTCTTACATATCAATGAAGCATCTGGCTCTTTTTTTTTTTTTTTTGACTTTTAAAGAGCGGCTATAAACAGACACGCATTTTTTTGCAGCAATTTCAGCTTTCATGAACCCAGCACAGGCAGTGTTTTTCTGACATCCGCCTGCAACKTTATGAAGTTAGCTTTTACTCTTTGCCACTAATTATATTAACTATTTTTAGGGCAAATTGTCAATGCACCATACTTATTCATGCTGCCTACATTTCCAATTTGTTTTTCTTTAGCCATGACTATTTATACCTGAAGTGTTGTGTTTTGTTTTTTGTTTTTTTTTTTTAGAGACATTCTCATTATTCTGTCAATGGTAAAGGTGGGGCTTGTAATCAAGTTACAAAACACACTGGGAGGGAAAAGATGACGTGTGGTTGCCATGGGGATATTATTGATAACTATTGGATTGCTTCTCAAATGTGAATAAAAGSCCACTTTAACGTTTCAAATAATACAGTTGAAGAGGAGGGAGGAATTTGAGGTCACCTAAGGGTCTGTTGAGAAACAAGCACGGGGTGTCAGGCAAGCTTCATAACCATGTGACCCTGCGGCCAGTCTTGTAGCCATTGTAAGCCTCAGTTTCCCCATCTATGATATGGGGATATTAACATCCACCTTCCCCGGTGAATTAAATGAGATAGAGATTGTAACTTTGACCTTTGAAGCTACTTTTATAGCATGGTAGTTTGGYTAATGACTATCTTTATTCTCCAGATGCCTCCAAGGGTGTACAGTGTATTTGAGCACATCTGGCCTTATTCCAACAGGCATTTTTCTCTTCCAATCTCTACCAGGACTCTTGACTCTTCACTTACATGAAGGGGTATAAGGATAGAAAGAAGGAAAACCCGTGAAGTCCCCTCCTTCTATGTGCTCTCTTTCTCTCTCTCTGGGTCACTTTGGGCAGCTCTGGCTATAGAAAGCCGTGCTGAGGCTCATAATGAAAGATCTCTACAGCACACCTCCAACGTCCACTTCCCCAAGGATCTGTGTGTCCACACGCCCCTTCCACTGCACCTGAAAGTATCTACATCCATTCCCTCCTTGAAATCATCCATCTTGGATGTAAGTGCAGCTGTTCACCCTGCTTCCTGAATCTAAGGTTCCTTACCTCCCTTTCCTTCCATGATGGTGGATGAGGAAGGATGGGCTCCAGTTGATAGCTTTCCTAGCTCAAGTCCTCATCATCCAAAAAAATTTTTTTAATGCAGCCCCCATATATCATACTTGTTTGGAGAAGAATAAACCCAAACCTATCAGCTATCCCCCTCTTGGGCTCAGGAGGGAGGCTTCTCATGCAAAGAAAACTTCTCAGGGTCAACCACATATGTGAAGCTAGAATTTAGTTGAGCCCCTGCCGTGTTTCTGGACCAAATAAGATTTTAGAGGGAGGGCAACTGGGACCTAGTGCTTAAGGAGCTGGCCCAAAGGTACTGACAGTATCTGAGGCAGCCTTTCTTCCAGGTTATATTTTTTTCCTTGGGATGAATACACCTGCCTTGTATTGAAAGTCTGGAGACTTCCTCAACTACATACACCCACAGCCAGCAGGTCCAGGCGCATACTTAATGTCTATTGAGTTGAATTATTAGTGTCTCTCTCAGCAGCCAGGAGAAGGGACCACAAATTTCTTTGCTTCTGCATACTTTGTTCTTTACATGGGGGCAGGCACTGTGGGTTCAGTCCCCAGGTTTCTGCTCTTCCTCTCGGAGGTGTGCATGGTGTAGGCGCTTAGGTCCTTCCTTTCTGGACTCTGTGTGACCCCAGGCCTCACCTAGATGCTCCCCTAGGAGCTCTTCCAATTGGTTCCTGGAGAGACCCAAGGGCTAGACCAAGCTGAGCCTTTATTTCTGGGCTTCCTGTGTTTTTGCTTTTGTGCCCACTTCGTCATATAGATAGGACTATAGGCCATTATTTCTGAAATGCATCTCCTATTCCCTGAATTATTCCTTCAATCATTCAGCTATTGAGTCACAAGCACATCCAGGCCACCCCAGACCCGCCCACGCCGCCCTCCTAGCAACAGTCTGCCCCGCCCCCCGTGCCTTTGCCCCGCCCCGTTTCCAGTGCGCACGCTCAGAGCCTCCCTCAGAGCCCCGCCCTGGCCGGGTGCACAAGAGTGACGTAACAGTCCGCGACGCTTTCGGAAGGTAGATTCCTGGGGTCCTACCGATTGTTACTCCCTGTCCCAGCCGCGCCGCTATGGCTTCCGCCGGGGTGGCCGCGGGGCGACAGACCGAGGATGCGTTACCGCCCCCGTCCGAGCCGCAGCTGCCTGAGACCAAGCCGCTGCCGCCTCCTCAGCCGCCGCCTCCCGTCGCTGCGCCCCAAACGCAGCCGTCGCCGGCACCGCGGCCTCAGTCACCCGCGGGCGTGAAGGAGGAGAACTACTCCTTTTTGCCTTTGGTGCACAACATCATCAAATGGTAAGGGCCTAGGAGAGGACGAGCCCCCCGCACTCCCTCTCGCTTCCGGTCTCGCCTGTTCAGAGCTGCGAGAGGCCTGGGCGCGCTGGGTGGCCTCTGTGTCCAGAGATGAGGAAACCGCGACCCCGGACCGGAAGCGGCCTTCGCTGAGACCACCCAGAGTTACTGCAGAGTTGAGCGATGGGCTTAGAAAGAAGCCAACTAATTGACTCAGTGCACACGCTCTGGGGTCCAGGTGCTCAAGTTTGCCCCTTTGCCTTCTTGAGCAAGTTAAGCTCTCAGCCCTAACACGGTTCATACAGGTTGCAGATCCCTTATCCGAAATGCTAGGGATCAGAAGTGTTTCCTACTTTGCATATTTTAAGGATGATGAAGTGTTTGCATATACCTCATGAGATATTTGGGGGGGAGGGGACCCAAGTTCCCAAAAGTAATATATAAATATATATTATATATTACTTAAAATAATATATAAGTATAAAAAGTAATTATATATGATATTTTTTAGTTCACCTGTGTTTTGATTGCAACCTGCCACAAGAATTCGAGTGTGGAATTTTCCGCTTGTGGCATCGTGGAGGCAGCCAATTTTTTGCATTTTGATGCATTTCGGATTTGGGGCTTTTGGATTCGAGAGGCTTACCCCTTACTCCATTTGGTTCCTGTTTTCAACATATACACATCATCTCACCCCAAATTCTATGAGTTTACACAGTAAAACGGACCAACTTTTTAACTCCACAGGRCTTACCATTAGAAGGAAAGATATGAATGTGGATAACCTATAATTTAAAAAAAATGAGAGAGGAAGAGTGTCACAGGAAACATTATAGAAAAAAGAGACACTTACGTTGCCCTAAATGATTAGATTCCTGTACTAACTTTGTTCTAAGATGGTACCAAAGGATGCGGTCTTTATCCTTTTGATCAAAAAATCTCTCTTATCCCCATGTTTGCCTAGGTTATTTTTTAAGTCATTCTTTTGCACTTCATTTAAAAAATATATGTATTTTTTTAGTTGTTGATGAACCTTTATTTTATTTATTTGTATGTGGTGCTGAGAATTGAACTCAGTGCCTCACTCATGCTAGGCAAGCACGCTACCACTGAGCCACARCCCCAGCCCTAAAAAATATGTATTTTTTTAGTTGTAGGTGAACACAATACCTTTATTTTGTTTTTAAGTAGTGCTGAGGATCAAACCCAGTTCCTCACACGTGCCAGGCGAGTGCTCCACCGCTGAGCCCCAGCCAGAAGACTTCACATACAGTCTTGTTGCTTAAGGATGGGGACATATTCAGAGGACATAACATGCACTTTGATATTTTGCTGAAATGGAATTGCCTTTTGCCACCTGAAAATCTTGAGTGTTAATGCGCCAGCTTCTTTAAGGTTTAGGTAGCCTGGATTCACTTGCCATGAGATGGCCTGGTGCTCTCCCCCTACAACTGCAAAACCTTTGTTTTCACATACATCCTCACTTTATTTGGCTTCACTTGGAGTGAAAATATCCATAGGGTAAGGCAGACTGTTCTGTTTTCATCAACATGTGGCAGTGAAGTAGCATTTCTCAGCCGCAGTGAGTTCAAAGCAGAGTACAGATGCAAACCCACCAGTCTCAGATCAGTGCTGTATTATCCAGCCAGAGACTATAGTGCATACCTGTCATCCCAGCTATTGAGGAGGCTRAGGCAGGAGGATTGCAAGTTCAAGGTCAGCCTTGACAACTTAATGAAACCCTATCTCAAAATATAAAGTGCTGGGGATGTAGCTCAGTGGTAGAGTGCTTGGGTCCAACCCCAAAGAGGGGGGTTATCCAGATTAACCTAAATACACTGGTTAAGAAAAATATGGAAAAACAGAAGCACAAAAGCTATGCATTTACAGAGATAGCTTTTGGGCCCCCTAAGCATGTGTGTGTATATGTATATATATATATATATATATTTTTTTTTTTTTTTTTTTGAGACAGGGTCTTGCTAAGTTGCTCAGGGTCTCATTAAATTGCTGAGGCTGGCTTTGAACTTGCAGTTCTCCTGCCTCAGCCTCCCCAGTTGCTGGGATGACAGGCATATGCCACCACAACCAGCCCTAAGTGTGTATTCTTGAGYTCAGGTAGAGCAGTTGAGTTGGACTGACATTAAAAAGGGAGCAGTAAAATATACTAGAGAGAGCAGATTTTGAAGTTAGATAGTCCTGGATTCAAGTCTGTGTGCTGACACTTGCTTGCCTGATCATCTTGGTAAATAATCTTCCCAGGCTATAATTTTTCTATCTTTAATATGTCAATAATGGATTTCAAACAGTGGATTCAAATTAATAGCTCTGTAATGTACTATGTGGGTTACTTTCAGCAGACAACTCCTCTGATCCCCTTTTTTGCCTGTGAAATAGGAACAGTAATACTTAAGTCATAGAATTGTTGTAAGATATACTCAAGAGTGTACCTGGGAAAGATGGTGGGTTCGTCACATGTCGTTTTGTGTAAAAGGACAGTAAAGGGACTTTTTTAAAAAGGATAAAATCAAAAAGAACAGGACAGGAGGTGATTGCCACAATACAGATGGTTAAGGGCTAACTCACCTACAATTCTGAAGCAGCTGTCTTTGACCATGGCTTTCTCCCAGATCCCAGAAACTGACTGTGCCAGCAGTCTCTGGAAATTGGACATTAAGGAGGAGACTAAGGATAGGAGGATTACTTAGGAGTCTAGAATATTCAGCCACTCCAAGCAGCCAAGAGACTACTTCCCATCTTGGCAGACAATTAAAAGGATTGCTTTTCCCCAAGATTTATTCTCCAGAAGGAATAATACAGGAGTGCCTGGATTGAGAGGCATCTGGCATATTGCAGGGGTAGGGAGTAGCGAGCCATCCTGAAAATAGAGAAAGTTCACCCCCTCAATAGTAACACATCCCTACCCTTTTTCTCCAAACCTGGCTTTTAGCTTGGACAGCCAAAGAGAAAGAGGTTCTTCTTATGAGATGTCTGACCAGCCCTAGTGAAAAGACATTGCAGAAGAAAAACACAGAGGAAAAGACTCTTTCTCCCACCAAAAAGCTGATCAGTTCATTTGAAGAAAGAGACTGTCACTATGGGAAGAAACTAGGATTCAGTCTGGAAGCCTTTGGTGTGTTACGTATTTGAGTTTATGGGCTAATGAGGGAAGGGGATGTGAWCTGTGGTAAGGGCAGGGGAGCCAGGGCCAGGAGACCTCAGAAAGCCTGGAGGAGCCAGAGGCTTACAGAGGATGATGCCAGTGATAAGTCTGAAATGAGAGGGAGGAAGGGTGGCATAGGAATAGCGTGGAGGTGGGAAATGAAGCCAAGAAATAGCGTGGACTCTTGGAGCTGACTCTCCAGTTTGGTGGCACTGAACATCATCCAAGCTAGAAGGGAGTCAGGATGGAGAGCTGAAAAAGAGGGAGGAGCCAGGGTATACTATAGCACATCTTCTGTAGGAAGCAGGACTTTTGTCCTATGAGGTTTGCTTGGAAGCCAGGTGGGACATGGGCCTGGCAGGCCTGGCCCCAGGTGATGAGGGCTGGGACCAGACCTAGTCACCCAGGGTGGCTCTCCAAGGTCCTTCAACTCCTCGTTTTTCAAACTTCCCCAACAGTCCATTCTTGAGGGATGAATAAGGAAGTAAACAAARTAGCAAATATAGCCTTTCCTGTTCTTATAAAGAATTCAGCTGATTATATCAGTCTTTTCTTTTAATTATTTCCTAAGTCACATTTGCACAGTCAGAAGCACAGACAGATATAACTGCTATGAATACTTAAGCTTCCTTCCAGGGATTATATGTGTTTGTCTTTTCAAATATGTACACAAATGGAGACCATGTGCTTTGTACTGTGCCTTTTCACTCATTAGTCTGCTGTGGGCACCTTTCTGTACTGCACATAGAGATCTGCCTCATTAAGGCCACTGCAGAGAATTCCGTCTCATGGATGTACCATAACTTATGTAACTAGTCTGCATGTGTGCTTTTAGGTGTTTTCTAATTTTTGCTGTTGCCAGCAGTTCTGGGGTAAGTAAGCATCCTTTTGTTTCTCTACATTTATGGTGAGGTAAATCCTGAGCAGTGGAATTGCTAGAGCAGAGAAGGGCACATGCATTTTTTATTTTGATAGCTACTACTTGGTTTACAGTGCTACATCATTTAGCTTAACTCCTCCAAAGCTCAGTCCTGTAGACGGGGCTGCTTCAATTAACTTAAGAATTCTTTTAACCAAAAGTGGCCCATAAATCTGCTACCCCAAAAGCATTAAAAAAAAAAAAAAATTAAAGTGGTAGATGGATTCCAAGAGTACATACAAATACGAGATGAAAGTGATCCTTCCCCTTGGCCCCACCCAGCTTCCTCCCTCATCCCAAAACTCATACAAGTCCATCTTATGAACATGCCATCACTTGTTAACCTGTTCTCCCCTCAAGGACACTTGTTGTGCCTGGGCTTTTGTGTTGGCCTCCAGTTCTGCAGTTGGCCTCTTTGTCATCCTGTTGATCCTCAGGAGTCTCTGCAGGGGAAAGTTCTAGCAATGGGATATACAAATTTAAAATTTGATCACTATTAGGAAATTCAGAAACATTGTGTCAGTTTGTGCTTCCAAACTGTACTTGTGTCTTCTCCCACACCACTGCTGTCACCATCCAACTTTTAACTTTAGCTGATTTGACAGGTCAGAAATTATAGACTGATCTCTTTCTTTTGTTAATTTAGAAAAAAATCTTTTAATATGCAATTTTATGCATCATTTGTACTTTCCCCTCTTTTTGACTTTTGTACAGTAAGGAAGTGATGCCTTTGTCAGATATTACAAATAATCCCTCAAGTTGTTGCTTCTTTTTCCATCTTTGTTCACAATCTTTTTTTTTTCTTGTGTTTTACTTCATTCAGTGTTGCATAATTTCATGTAGTCAGAGTTGTTAAGCTTTTCCTTTCTGGCTTCTGATTTTTGGCCTTCTGAGGCCTTAAGTCTGGGGATGTGGTTGGTG